CAGCCTCCCCCTGCAGAAGGTGCTAACTTTGCTTCCTGTGCTTTCCTTGTTTTTCCAGGCAGTGAACATTGGAATTGGGACATTTGCAGTTGTCAAAGACTATATCATGGTGGCAAAGGGCGAAGCTGTGCTTGTTCTAAGGCCCGTCTTCCAGCTGTGCCCTTGTCTGAAAAGGTTTTACGCACTCCGATACGCACAGAGGGAGATTCCTGGTAAGATGGCCCATGAATGCCCTGCTCCCCTGTGTAGCCCCTCTACGGTGCCTCTTGGTGACACATCTCACGCACGGAGGAGCCAGCGCTCTGCCAAKCTGGACRGCGCTGCGCTTGGTCCACATCACAGAGCAGCTCAGCTCCCTGCCCYTGCCAAGGGAACTGGCCCCAGGGAGGCAGCAAGTTCTTACACGAGAACAARGTTCCACTTGGCTTCCTTCTGTCCTGAAGAAAACCCCGTGGCCCCTTCAGCATCCCCCACTTACBGAGGCCTTGGAACGAAGTTCAGGAGGGGCCCTCATGAGCTCCCTTCTGCAGAATGTTGCTCAGGTTTAAAGAAGACCAAGCTCGGGCACTGTACTGCCAGGGGAGGGCCTGGAGCTCCAGGCTCAGCTTGCATCAGCTCTGGGCTATAGGTGCAACTGGTTCCTTTCTGCTTGTCTCCTAGCCAAGATGCCTGTTGTGCAGCTAAACTACAGGCAGATCGCCAAGGACACCGGCTTCCTGACAGGAGCTGTGAAGCACTGCGTAGAGGAAACCTTGCTTTTCTTTTCTGGAGCACTGGCAGAAGGCAAGGATGTCAAACTGGTSYTGAAGGATGTTGGCRTTCTGGCCGTAAAAAGACAAGTGGTCACTATGAAATTCTTTCATCACCATCTCATGGAGGTGGATGCCACAGGYACCCTGGTGCCAGCTGTTCACATGGTGAGTTTGCCATTTCTCTGGGGAGCTCTTTGGAAGGCCCGCTCAAAATGGCTTCTCAAAATGCCTTCTCAAAATGGTGGGTGCCTCCTGCTGTAGACCACTAGGGGTGGCCACACGCTGCATGGGCGACACCAGCCCTTGGGAGTGTGTCAGCTCATTCACATAAGGGCCACGTGGCGCACAAGAGAAGGTGGGATGAGGCTTTCTGAGAGGCAACTCCTTCGCCGAGCGGGGGAAAGGAAGGCCGCCATTGGCAGCTACAAGCACATGTCCCTGACGTCACCTCCCATGGCTCTGTCCTCTTGTAGGAGTCAGAGATKACGGATGTCGTCACCTTTGATACCAGAAGTGACTTTCACCGGGTCAGTCATGATGGTGTCATCGTGTTGCCAAGGTGAGAAGACCCACTCCCACGAGCCCAGCTGCCCCACAGAGCAGCTTCTCAGCTCAAACTGGGGACATCTTCTTGCCAAGACTTATCTTCTCACACCCAACTATTGTAGGCCAACCCTATGCAAGACAAGGCTTCCAGTTGCCTCTACACTTGCTCCTCCACAGCTGGAAAGGGCAGTGCAGACACAGGGGCTGGAGTGTTCTCGGCGAACACTGAATGCAAGACGTGGGAGGCCTCCCAGTAGCACCAAAGAGGCCTTGTGTAGAAGGAGTTAGCTCTCTCGCAACAAAGTGAGGGAAGCACTACCAGAAATTGTTTGAAACTGGCATGGCCCACCAAGCTCTGCTGTCCTTCCCTGCATCCCTCGGATCCCCTAAGAGTTACCTACTCCATGGGTACATCAGGAACTCTAGCGGATCTCAGAAAAGACACTATCAGTGCAAGCGGCCAAGGGAGCATGGTGCCCTTTGCTCAAATTCTTCTTCTTTCCAGGTTTGCCCTTGAGTTCCCAGGCAAAACTTCACTCCATACACATTCTGTCAAGCCCAGGGAAGAGGTGGTGCCTTGTGAGCGCCGTTACAGCAAAGGTAATGCCACAGTCCCCCTCCTGTTCTGCCTTCCCCTTTCATCCTCGTGAGGGAGGGAGAGCCAAGGCTACAACGTCCCAAGGCAAAGGACACAAGATAGTCCTTTGGTGACTTTATGGACGTGTCCTGGTAAATCTGTTGACTTTCCAGCAGGTGCTCCCAGCACTCCCAATGGCAGCTGAKGRCTGATGCTCTCTGAGTYACACTAACCCTGGGGACTCTCTTATGTAGAGTGCCACACGCRTTTCTGGTTGCAGTAGTTATTGTTGTAAGAGYCGTCACAATGGAGAAGGCCTCAGCACCTTGACTAGCAAAGTCTGCCACGAGTTTTTAGGAATGGAGGCGTTGCCACAGCTCAAGGAAGCCATGTGCTGGAAGCTGAGGAGGAAGACTGTCTGAGAAGAGGAAGCCTTCTCTGAAGCCTTGCACAGCGCAACCAGGCAGCTCTACCACTCACACTTGCTTGCACAGGCACAAAGACCCATTTCTGAAGAGCTCTTTTCATTCCTGCTTGCAGGTAGCCTGCTCGATCCAATCTTCCTGGCTCGAGAGAAGATTCCTCTGGCCAAACTGGCAGTGAAGTACCAAGAGGAATCTAAGGCAACGGGAGATGGCAGAGGCAGGTGAGGCTTCTGAAGAAAACCGCAGGGATCGGGGCTGTGCGGCCAGATGAGCACACACTGTGCCTCTCTYATCGTGARAGTGGGATCTTTCCTGTGGCCACACTGGCCATCRTCAGGCTGAAAGGCTCTGGAGTGTCACCAGGACCATCGTTCTCTTGCTGGGCACGTGCTTCTCCTGCCGARTTGCCCTGAGCTGTCTCAGCAGGGACACAGGCTGTGAGCCTGGCATGGAGGAATGGGCTCGGCTTCTGCTCCCTGACACTCTCCTTCTCCCGTCTCTTCAGATTTCTGCCATCGATTCCAAAGAAGGTCTCCAAGGCAGTCAAGCCACCAAAGCCTCAAGCCAGGTTCAAGACTGAACTCAGTGTTTGTGCTCAACCGCCAGCACACAAGGTACATGGGAGACATTTGCCACCCCTGTGTGAACTTTCCATCTCCAAAGATGGGCAGAAGAGGGAGGAACCACACCACCATCAGCAGCAGCTCGGTCCCAATACCCTTGACYTGCCCTTTGAGAAGAGTCCCAGCTATGCGCAGCAGTGCTTTAGGGAAGGCTCTTCTGTCTTTACAGACCACCTCTCCCCATGTGACTGASGATCCAGGGCGTCCTTCCCATGTGCTCAGAAAGGAGTACCATGAGAAACTCAGGGAGCAAGTGGAAAAGCTGCCAGAGAGAGCGCGGAAAGAGTAAGTCTGTGCTGGCTCCTGCAGAGGCCTGGCAGCACTGGGTGACCGTGCACCGCAGAGGTGTCCACACTTCCCTGGGCTTAGGGGATTGACCTTGGCCACTTCCTCACAACACACCAATGGCCTGGAGTAGGTGCTGCCCCCAGGGGCAGCTGCAGCTCAGCTGAGTGGGATGAAGCCTGTCCTCAGGTCTAACTGTGGCTGCTAACGGTGACAGATGTATGAGCCTGGATAGTGTGTGRGCACACACGGGGCCTAGGGAAGACACGGGCAGCATCCCAGCCAGAGCGTGACAGAGAACTTGTCCYTGCCCTTGCAGCTTCCATTCCCCACGAGGAAGCCTCACCCTGAAGCTGCTGGARACTTACAGAGCACAGCAGGACGAGCGGGCAAGGAAGGCTGCTCTCAACAGGGACACAGTAAAACAGAAGGAGCAGCTGCTCTGGTAAGAGACCCAGCATGTGCTTGCGGCCGCCCCCTCCTGCCATGTCCTTCAGTTCCACTGGCTACAGGCACTGGGGAAGAGGGGCTTTCCTTGAGGGCCCTCCTCACTTTGGCGCCACATTAGCAGACTGGCCTTGAACGAGACACRTGTCCTGTTCCTCCAAGGCCTGCTTGGCTGGCACTCGGAAAAGCGTTTCAGTGTCCCCTCCTGATACAGGGAGGCTCAAGCTGAAAGCAGTGCTCAGCYGTGCGGCCTTCGCTCCATTCACTGGTGCTCTAGGGGACCTGGTTTGTACACACAGGCCCCAGGCCCATCACCCAGGCCACTGAGCTGGCCTGAGCAGCAAAACCAGCAACAGATGATCCACAGGCCTGCAGCGTTTCCCTCCCAAGTCCTCACCACAAAGCTGAAGCCCTTTCTTTTGCATTCTCTAGCAAGGGGGAGAAGAAGCAGCTCTTTGACCATTGTGGGATGGCCCAAACATGCCAGTCATACCACAAATCCGTGACCGGACTCAGAGTTCAAAGAGGGGCTCTTTAGCCATCACAGCAGATGCTGAGGCTGAAGCGGGCGCCAAGGACCATCTATCAACAACTGGTGGTTATGGGATCATTCAAGGATAAAAGAGACTGCAGCCTGGGAAGTGGAAAGGGACAAAGCAGCTGGATGGGGTCTTCTGAGGGGAGCCACCATCAACTCTGCTGCTCCTCAGCCCCACTTTTGGCCCTTTAGCAATAAATGTGAAAATCTTTGTTTTTCCTTTGATCTTCAGTAGTAGCTTTTCCTTCTTTTTTTTGTGTTTTATATTCCTTTAATATTTAGAATTTCTTTTCAGCTCTTTTCTATTTTGCAAAGAAAAAAAAATAGGCTATTTTACAGAGACAACAGTGAACTAAAACATCTATCATAAGCTTGCCATGCTTGTCTTAGGGAACCCTGATCATCTGGGAACTGTTACTTTTTTGTAATCAGGTCTGACATCTCCATATCACATTTTTTCCCCCAGGAAATACAGCATGCTTGTTGGTCATCCTGCCTAGGACATCGTCCCAATTTCCTCTCTGAGGATTATATCCACTCTTCTATGGAAAGCTGCATGTTTGTGCAGTTCTGCCAGTGCCAGTGTTATCATCTAGCAGCACTGTCTTTTGATCAGTGTTTAGCCATATGTAAACTGCACTGTGCAAATACAATGAACTGCTGCCCAAGAATTCCACTTACTGTCCAGTTCCAGAATCGTTTTCTCCTGGCCAAGAAATGGGATGACACAGAGGTCTCTAAAACACTTGGTAGAAAAGGACGTGCTGGACTTCCTGGAATAAGGCAGCTGGTGTATGTGTGTGCACATGCATGCACACYGCTTTAGGCCCACTCTCCTTGCCTTTGGGCAAACCATTCCATTACTCACCTAGGATGTAGAGTGGCACTTCTTATATTGCAAGGCACATACTGTCCTGCTGTAGGATCTTACCAGGCCAGATAAAGAGATACAGGACTGGAGGCCAGGGGCGGAAGATCACCAGAGACTAGCAGTAAAACTCACTGTAGAAAAAGGAAACTCATCAGAGTAGCACCTGGAACAAAACTGACTAGATGGAAAGTAAATAAAGGAAAAGATGAAGCCAGACAGAATAGAGAGTCATTTATAGAAGAAATAAAACAGCTGCATTTATCACTTTGTTTGCTGGAGACAGAAATCCACACTAAACCATCAGTGGTGATCATCAGGATCTTCTTCCAGTGGCGGAATAATTTCTCCTGTCTCTAAAATTCTGTCTCCCTATTGGAACGAAAGAGAGCATAGTGAGTCATTTCTCATAAATGAAATGTTTTCCTTTATACAGAATATTCTTTCAATTAAGCAGTTAAGTATCTTGTTCTAAGAGTTAGGTTTGAAGGACTGCATGGCCACATAAAATCAGGTATGACTTTTGATAAGTCTCAAAAAATAGTTTCCAAAACCAAATTCTGTGGTACCTAAAGAGCTACATAATCCCTTAAAATCAATATGGTGCCTGATTTCTCCTTATTAAAGGTTCAGGCACTATCTTGGCCTCCTGAGTTGACACAGGTTGTGTAACTAGGCAGATGTCAGAGGCCCGCAGTTTTCTCTTTAGTATTTTACTATGCAGTTGTTAAGAACGTTACTGTTGTTTGATAAAGCACAATTAGTTATCATCTGTTTTACAGGCAAAAAAAAAAAAAATGCATAACTGGCTGAAATAGCTGAACTAGACTTAAGGAAATATATTTACCTACTACCTCACTACACCAATCAATGAATTAAGATTCAACAACCCAGTAGATACTGTCCACCTCTAACTCCCCCATCTCACATCCCAGCCATCAGTGGCAAAACTCTGCTGTGGGGGCAGTTGGGCATGGAGGGCTTCTGGGGATGCCTGGGACCAAGCCCACACAGTTGCAACCAACACTCTTACCCTCTTCCTCCTGACTACTGAAATCAGCACTCAGCACGGAGAGGTAGAGACAACCACTCTTCTGCAACTTTGCATTGTTCTATATATTAATAATCACATTTCCACAGAGGCATTAAACACTCAAAATCATTCATACTGATCCCATTATGGCATGGTAATTAAGCCATGCAGTTAGTCCACAGCAGGCACACAAGCTGCACTTGCCCCTTTTCTGGCCTGAAGAGTACACCAGCACTTCAGARTTACAGACCCAGCACTTCAGCTCCCTGTAAAACTGGGCACAAGCAGCCAACTGAGCCCCAAACAGGAAATGATCTTCCCATTTCAGTAAGCTCATTAGCTACTGTTCTCTGTATGTACATCACCATTCACTACAGGACATCCCATAAAACAAGGGAATGTTGTCTTCTCTGCCCAGGGGCACCGTGCACCATCAGCCAGGCACTAGAGTTGGTGTTTACGGAAAGAAGGTGCCACTGAAACAACGACTGACCGTGCACTCCCCAAGGGGGAGATGAAGAAGTGCTCAGAAGCCCTGAGTGCTCATTCAGGACAACCTGTCCGCAGTACCTAGCACATCCTTTTAGACATAATCCGGGCAAATCTAATGCACAAACCTGCATCTTTTCTCCCCAAGCCACCCCTGTTATTGCCTGTATTTTATGAAGCTGGAAGAAATATTAACAGACTTACTGGAAATATCGGTGGATTCGATTCAGTAATACCATATGGCCTTTTCTGAAGGACAGGTGGTAGGAAGAGATGGGCAAGGAGAAAGAGAAAGGAGCATTACTGAGGTGAAATACAATTTTCAAAACATGGAACATGACCCTTCTAATATACAAGCTCTAGAGAGTAAAGGTCACATTTGCCCTACTTCTTCCTGTGAGATAAACACCCGGGGCTAGCCAAATTGTAACCCCAAAACAAGACAGGACTACAGAATGGAAGGTCTTGCCTATCTATCATCAGTTTAATGTCCGTTTCTCCTCCCCACACCAATAGCTGCAAGTCTCGTTGTCACCAGGAAAGTAATGGTCACTGCTCACAGCTTTCTGGCTCACAGGRAGGCAGTACCGTGAAGACAGGCCAATACCATAAGAGATCACAGAATATTTTCATAGTGCTCCCCCCAAAAAAGTAAAGCAAGGGATTGACAGGCTGGAAGAAGCCACCCTACCCATCAGTGAACACTCAGCCAATACGTTCACAAAATTCCCTGGGCTACTAGGGTGACTTATCCCTCTTCCTGCACCGCTTAACCTGGAATTCCTCCCTGTCCTTTTAAGCCTCTGGGTCACCCTCTTCTCCCCAGCTAGGTGGCCTTTATGTCTTTAGGAGACCATCTCTCCCCTGGCCCCCTGCCCTCCAGACCGCTCCACTCCTCTCCTCGCAGGGCCACGCCGCAGAGCTCGTTAGGAGACACGGCCTCCACCACCCCCGCTCCCACAGCACCATCCGAGTGCCCGGGCCGCGCTTACCATAACGTGGTACTTGATGTAGTAGAGGGCGAGCCAAGAGGGCAGCAGCAGGCGCGTCACCGTGAAGACCCCGGCTCGGTACAGCCTGAAAACCTGCGGGCGACAAGGACACGGTGCGGCCTGGGCCTGGGCCAGCCCGTGTCCCTGCTCCAGGCCAAGCGCCGGCCCCGYCACTCACCTGGTGCCGCCATAGGCTGTCGGGCTGCAGGAAGCGCTCCCAGAAGGCGGCCACGGGCCCGAGGCGGCGCGGCGGCAGGACGGGCTCGCGCTCGCTGAGCTCCTGGTCGCGCAGCCAGCGGCGCCGCAGGACGCGCAGCTGCTGCAGCCGCAGCTTCTCGTCCGCGCTGTAGCCGCCCATGGCGCCGCCGGGCCCGACCGCTGCCGGGCGCCGTGTCCTTGGCGACGTCGCGTGGCGATGACGCACGCGCCGCAGCCGGGAGGGGCGGGGCGGGGCGCGCGGCGGCGCGGGGCACCAGAGGGGCCGCCAGGGGGCGCGGAGGAGCGGGCAAAGCCCCGCCCCCAGTATGCCCCGCCCTCTCCACGGCCCCGCCCTCCTAGAGGGAGGCCCTCTCCTCGGCCCCGCCCCTTGCATGACCACGCCCTCTGGGATAGATACGCCCCTGATCTTGCCCCGCCCCGTGGGGGTGGCCACGCCCCGACSGTGGCCACGCCCTCGTCGTGGCCACGCCCCCGGGCCGCCTCTCCCGCGGTACCCCGTGGCGTCCCGCTCGGCTGCAGGGAACAAACRAGCCGAGAAACTTTTGTTGCCGAGCGAGCGGCCCGAGCTGCTCCCCGCGGYTGCACTAATTCCCGCCGCGCGGAGCCCCTGCTCGGGCCGGCTGCAGCTGCGGGACCCGTCCCTGCGCCTCCCGCTCCCCCCGGGCTGTGCGGGGCTCCGGGCGCGCGGGCGGCTGCGAGTCCTGCCCGGGGGAGCTGCTCCCCCGGCACCCACCCGCGCAGGGCTCCAGCCCCGGCGCTGGCAGAGGTGCTGGGGGTACCGGGTGCTGCTACCTGCGCCCCACAGGCCTTGGCGGTGCCTGCCCGGGAGAGGGGCTGCGGGGAGCTATGGGCTGTGGTTGATGGCGAGGGGCACCCTCCCTGCCCAGGAGGCAAGGGGGGCCGGCAGCGTGTGGAGGGCGTGCAGGCGCCTGTGTGCGCCTGGGATGGGTGAGCAAAAGAAGGCACGTGGGGGTGCAACTGTGTGCCTATATGTATGTGTATGGGGGATGGGGGTATGTGCATGCATGCATGGGGGGGGGTGTGCACGGATGCACCGGGACGGGGCAGGGGCGGAGCTAGTGGCGGGGCTGTCACCGGTGCTGAGCTCTGCCCGCGGCAGTGGCAGCGGCGGCAGCGCGGGCGGTGGCAGCAGCACCTGGCAGCAGCAGCAGCGGGTGGCGGCACCAGCCACCTGCAGCAGCACTGGACACTGCAGCAGCGGCAGCAGCAGCAGCAGCAGCAGGTGGTGGCGGCACCGGTGGCACCGGACACCAGCAGCAGCAGCGGGCAGCTGCCCACAGCAGGGTGAGCATCTGCACGAGCTGGCCAGGTAGCTGCAGCGGGCACCGCTGCCCGGACACGCGGTCCGGCCGGGGCTGCAGGCAAAGCCGGGCGCGCTGCCCACCGAGGCGGAGTGGCTGGGAACGGAGCAGGGAGCGGGTCCCGTGGGGCAGCGGGAGCTGGCGGGGAGCGGGCAGCCGGGCTGCAGCAGGACAGGGCGCCTCAGCCGCCCGAGGGGCTCTGGGCTGTCAGGGTGCTGGGTGCTGTCACTGGGGCCCTCGCCAGCAAAGGGGGCTCTGCCTTGCCCAACGGCAGAACAAACGTGGCCTCGTGTTAGTAGCTCTGCTGTGTGAGTGGGGAAACTGAGGCACCCTGTGCTGGGCACAGCAGTGGCACCAGCAGGACGAGCCCAGASTCCCTGCTCCCAAGTCCTCCAAACAGAGAGGGTTCCCTTTGCCTGTAGAAATGTAGAACAGGTTTCTGAAGTAAAGCAGAGAGGCAGGATGTATCTCCCTCATCATTACTCTGAACGCAAAGCAGGGACTGTCCCATCAGAGCTGCCCTCCTTGGGATGTCCCAGAGTTGGTACCACATGGAGTTGTGCAGCAGCTGCTATTGCCAGAGGCATTTCCAGTCCTGCACCTAGCGTGCTGTACTCATTCTCCATCAGCTGGACCAGCTGTGAGATCCTGGCTCCATACCCACAGAGGAGGACTCTGCTTCCTCCACAGAGACAGACACCAGCCTCTCTTCTCCCCAAACTTCAACTTCTAGCATAGCCCATCCAAGAAGCAGCCAAGCTTGGCTTGCACAATCATTCTACAGCCAGAGGAGGGGAGCAGGAGATCTCTAACCCCTAAGCTAACCCTACCCTATGGGTCTTGCAGGCCAGCAGCCTTGGAAGGAACTTGCTGAGAAGCACATGGGTCTCAGAGCTGAGAGCTGGGCTCTTGCTGTCTGCAGTCGGCCACGAGCACATCAGCTGGGCTAACAGGCCGAGCAGTTATTCTCCAGACTCTCACATCTTGGCCTGTATCACTCCAGGCTCCAACACCTCATTGTGGCCACAGCGCAGAATGACAGAGCACGAGGACTTTGCCAGCTTGGCTGGATACTGGAATTCTTCCAACAGTTACCAGTTCAACCCTGCCAGTGTCATCGTCCCTGTGGTCTTCTCCCTCATATTCCTCTTGGGCACGGTGGGCAATAGCCTGGTGCTGGCGGTGCTGCTGCGCAATGGGCAAATGGGCCACAACACAACCAACCTCTTCATCCTCAACCTCAGCCTGGCTGACTTCTTCTTCATTGTCTTCTGCGTGCCCTTCCAGGCCACCATCTACTCCCTTGAGGGCTGGGTCTTTGGCTCCTTCATMTGCAAGGCCGTCCACTTCTTCATCTACCTCACCATGTATGCCAGCAGCTTCACATTGGCTGCCGTCTCCGTAGACAGGTAAGCCTCTAAAGAGACCTTGAGGTTGGTGGTGGAGGGAATGATTCCCCAGGTGTTTAGTCTGAGGACCTGGTTGGAGGGAGAGCATGGCGGGAGGGTGGTCCATCACMATTAGGTGGTTCAAGCCCCAATGGTGCAGTCCAGGCCAAGGGCAGTTCAAGGACTAGTTGTGTCTCCCTCTAACAASCACAGAGCAGCACTTCCAGCTCCCCTGAGCGCAAAGCTTGTGCTGATCCTGCCTGCACCTTCCCCAGGAAGACTTGCCTGGTGGTAAGAGTGCTTCAGACCTGCCTTGAGGTCCTCAATGGATCACAGACTCCCACTGGAAGAGTTGCCTAACTCTGTGTTAGAGATGGCACAGAGAGAATAACAGTTATCCTCAAGCCAGCCTTGTAGAGAATCATCACGTGATGGCAGCATGGCAAACATAGTACTATAAGACAGATACTCAAATTTCAGTCCTGCAGTAAAGTTCTGGTTTCTCTGGCCAGCTGACGTAGCACAAAATCTGTCCTCCAGACATCCCTATCCAGGCCCCAGCTCTCCTACACTCTGTGCAGAACAGTGTCCATGCCACAGGCTGAGCAGCGCSTGGCATCTCCCAGAGCAGCTTCCGTGTGGTTGTGGGGGTTGACTTGAGCCCTGCTGCAATACAAGCAATGACCCCGACTCCAGTCACTGGAATGTGCAGCAGGGAAACTCATTTCTGAAAGGTTTGGGCCAGCCACCCTTTCCTAGCAGAATTAAACCCTGTCTACACTGTAATCCTGCTTCAGGCTCAGACTTGACTAGCACATGCTTTCACGTACATTACACGCTGTCCCCAAAACTGGGTTCAGGCAGACTCATAGCCAAGAATTTRGCCTCCAGATTCACAGAGGCAGAGTCTTAGGAGATCATATGGTCCACCCTGGTCACAAGGCATGATCAGTGCCATCCAAATCATTCCTGAGGGCTCTGTCTTGTTCTACGTTCACATAACAGTAACACATTAACTATCCTGCTCCTGCAGGAACAGCGCAGGACAAGGGAGAGCTCTGCATGGGGACAAATGTCCGGCCTTCCCTACTGTCCATGGGAACATGTCCTGGACTATGTTGCTTGCTGTGCCTGCTCCCAAGGCTGCAGAGCCAGGGCTGCACCCCAGGGGTGGCTGCATTTCAGCACAACATCAARTGCATCTCACGGAACCATAGGCAGCTTTCAAGACAAAAGGCAAACAGCGGATTTTTGTCACACACATGACCCTTTACATCAACAGCCTGTCTTATCCCCCTGCTCTGCAGGCCTCACAGTGCATGAAACCCGGGTCATTCTGTGGCTGCTGGCCGGCTGTGGCTGCGGCAGAGACGCCCTCCTGCCTGTGCTCACAGCTCCTCTTCCTGCCCTGCCCACCCGCACCAAACCACCTCTCCTTGCTGTCATCCACCCGCAGCTCCTGCAGGACTGTCAAGGCAAACACAAGGTTTCCCCTCTGCCGCTTGTCCCCTCCTGCCTGACGTGTGTGACGGAGCGGAACACAAGAGCAGCTGTGGGAGCCTTGCCCCGCGGTGCTGCCTGGAGGTGGGGGGCAGAGCTGCCCGTTTCTGACCACCTCTGCTGGAGGGGAGCAGGCAGGCTGCTATGGGCTGGTCTTGAAACCAGGAGGCGAGGTCTGCCTTACCAAACCTGACCTGTTTTGTGCCCGAGTTGGGGCTGCCACTACCCCAGCCCCCATGAGCTCATCTTCCCCATGCCTGATCTGAAACCCATGGAGGGCTGGTGAACTGCCTTCCGAGGGCAGGGGTCTGCACTGTGTCCGTCACCCACTGAGACTCCTCCTGGCTTTGAAATCTCCGTTCAGACCCTTTTCTGCTGGGTAAGTGGGGCTGTAGCTCAAGTGACAGTGATGTGCGTGACCCCCACAGACCCAGCTCTCTGACTAAGAGCTTAGTGCCAGGAGCCACCCTGTCCTGGTTTACCCTGGAGAGCTTCTCCAAGAGGGTGCAAGATAACATGGAGGGCCATTGCTCAGGGACCGTTCTGAGAAAGAAAGAAACTCTCGTGTCCCAGAGCAGTGTCTGAGTGGGCAGAGAGAGCCTGGCTGCAACCTCAGTGCTGGTTGCTTTGATGTCTCCTCCAGGTACCTGGCCATCCGCTATCCGTTGCGCTCCCGGGAGCTGCGGACCCCCTACAACGCAGTGGCAGCCATGGTTGTGATCTGGGGCCTCTCGGTGGTCTTTGCTGGGCCCTACCTAAGCTATTACGATCTGATTGAGTGGGAGTCCAGCTACATCTGCGTGCCTGGCTGGGAGGAATGGAGACGCAAGGTCATGGACACTAGCACGTTCGTCTTTGGCTATGTCATCCCGGTAATGGTCATCAGCCTCTCCTACACCAGGACCATCAAGTACCTGTGGACATCAGTGAACCCTCTGGAGGACATGTCAGAGTCCAAGAAGGCCAAGAGGAAGGTAACCAAGATGATCATCATTGTAACCATCCTTTTCTGCCTGTGCTGGCTGCCCTACCACGTGGTCATCCTTCGCTATCTCTATGGAGACTTCCCTTTCAACCAGGCCACCTATGCCTTCCGACTGCTTTCCCACTGCATGGCCTATGCCAACTCCTGTTTAAACCCCATTGTTTATGCTCTGGTCTCCAAGCACTTCCGCAAGGGCTTCAAAAAAGTCTTCAGCTGCCTCCTGAGGAAGAAACCCCGCAACAAGGTCCATGTGGTGCACGCTGCTCGCATTGTGCCTTGCTTCGAGGCAGGCTCCACTGAAGTGTCCCAGATGCATGAGGAGAACAACGAATGCGAGCTGAACCCAGCCTCCCTGGCAGCGTCCTCCAGCTCCTCCAAGCCCCTCCACGTTTCTTAGTAGTCCTGCTCCACACTACCTGTGTCACCAGCCTCACACTGGGTAAGAAGATGCCGCGAAAGACAAGCCTTGCTATATCCTCCTCCTGGCCTTGCTATTTCTTCTTATTCCACAGACCAGTCATTCTCCTAAATTGCCTCCCCAAAACATGTTGCATGTAAGGGTGGGGATGGAGCCAGATTCCAGATTCCATTCTTGCTCCCGATTCTCAGCCCACCTGAACTTCAAGGACTAAAGCTTCTTGGGACCGCGCTGGCTTAGCTCCTGTCTTGGCTTCCATCCCTCCAACTCTTTTGTTCATTGTCCCTGCTAGGACCCATCACTCTGGACATGTTGTTTTTGTTTCACACAGTACCTCCCAGTGCCCCAGTTCACCAGCCTGAGCCCCACAGCAGGGGTGGCAAAGGATGCAGGCAGCGCAGGCCCGATGGGTGAAGGTGGTGCTGAAGTGGTTGGCACAACCTGCACATGGTTGCAGTGGTGGCTTTGGCACAGGCTGCACTGTCCCAGGAGCCAGGTCCTCCTCCCTTGGACTGTGGGATGGCCTATGGGCTATCTGCATGTGTGGGATGGTGCTGTACATACTAAAGAGCTGTCTCTAACCCAGAGCAAATAAACATACTTCCTTAACCCATGTAATAGTGGGGCCTACAGTGATTATCAGGGGTGGTGGATGGGCTGCCCATACCTCAATGAGGTCTTTTTCCTTGCTGATGTGATCAGGGGAGCATCATGWAAATCAGCAAGGAGCCAAGTCTCCAGAGGCAAATGTGTCTGGTGTCACCTCTCCCTTTCAATGGCCACATTCAATGACTGACATGATCACTAGATCCCTTTGCAAGCCTCAGGCAAGGCGAAGCAAGGGACCTTCTTGTCACTTCTTGAGATTGATAGATGTAAGGGGGTACATTTCTGCCCTTGCTAAATAACTTCCGATGAAGAAAGTCACTCCATTTGACTAAGAAGCCACGAACAATTTATTATTCATCTATTCTTTCCTGCTTCTCCACATCAGGGCAGCCTTTTAAGGCCTCTCTGGTAAGGCAAAACGTGCAACCAGAGGATGCACAGTGATTTATTCCCTTTCATTAGAGTTGTTAGGGAATTATTGCATTAGAGATCAAAATTCCAAACTCTTTCAAACTGTCTTGATATGCAGCTTTTAGGATTTGCTGTAGTAAATTCACCTAATGCCCAGTGCCATAAACAAACTCCAGTTTTGCTTGGTTCCTACCAGGGAAGAAATCCTCGATCACCTCTGCCAGACTGACTAATAACAAACAGCTCCCTGTGCTCCAGAAATACTTATAACACATCAGAATATCAGTAATCACTCAGGGGCTATCACTGTGTATCATTGGAGCGTCTATTAAGGCAAATTCATTGAAGTTATCTATCCATAAAACAAAGACAAAAACACAGACGTAGCTGTACTTTGTAGAGAGCCTCTTTTGACCTCAGAAGAGCTAGGGGAATAACCTGARGGATGCTCTCGGGGTTGACATATCTTCTTGAAGAGCAGATTCAAGACATTCAATAGGTGCAAGCACAGAGTCCCAGCAGGATTTGAGCACAGCGCTGGACACTGTGGTCAGACGGTGCCTCTGAGTGTCCCTGACACCACTCACACACCACACATCTGGTCACARCCTTTATCTCCTTTATCTCAAGGACCAGAGACCTGGGCTTGCAGCCCCAGGACCGAATCCCCTCAGAGCAGAGCACTGAGCAAGCCTGCGCCCACGGTTTGTGGCACTATCAGGACACACTGGAGRCAGGGAAAGCACCCATGGGTGGGAGCCGCGGCCCAGCAGAGCCAAAGAGGGGCAGTGCATGAACCCCCCACCAGCAGGACCCGCATGGCAGCTGTGCCAGCCCCCGTGCTCCTCGCGCAGCACTAATTCAGTGCCTGCTCGCAGAACAACAGCAGCGAGCCCTGTAATTATCAGGCTGCTGAGGGGGGCACTTAGCTATCGGCACACCAATTACAGCCAAATCAGGTGCTGACCTAGAAAGAAGAAATGAACTTTTTTTTTCTCATTGCATGCGTCACCCCGAGTATCTCGCTACATAGATCATTTGTGAAAAACAGAGCTCGAGCAGGGAGCTGAAGGAAGAGCAYGGGCAGGATGGGCAAGCGGGGCACAGCCGCATGGGCAGCCTTGCCCAGGCTGGCAAATGGAGTCAGACTATGGAGCTATCTTCACTGGCTGAGCAGTCAAAGACCTTTATTGAAGCAGCGTGGTTGCTTATATACACACTAGAACAAACAACCTCCACAGACTGTTCATGTTGTGTCCATGACAGGCTATCTCAGCAACCTTCGGCCAGTCATTGGGAGCCTCAGACTTTCTGCTGAATGATGGTAAAGGACAAACGTCAGCCAATCGTCCATCTCCCCATCAGGGTTCTTTCCAACCACCTAGTAACCTGGGCCTTACAGATACCTACATCTTGGCTTTCTTTGTCACCTGCATCTATTCTGCTGGCCAGCAGAAATTAATCTCCATGCAATAGCACGTASAGCAGTAATGTCTGGACATGCGGTGAGTCAGGTGAATACAGATAGAKGAGCACAGCACCTACTTCATGCCTGGCTTCAGCAACGAGCCAGGAGTTACCCTGCTCTGTGAGGGCAGTGGAAGGAACTCGCTCACGCTCATCCAGGCTATGCAGGATCAGGCAGGAAGGAGCAGGCACAGGCTTCACACCAGTGGCCTCCTTCAAGCTGTAGCAGATGAGCACACGGGGCACAGGGGGCTTGGAGGAAGGCTTTGAACCCAGGCCCAGCGCACAGTGGAGGGCACAGCAGTGGGCACAGACATCCAACTGAGCTGAATTTGGGGAAGACAGGCAGGGTGGGAGAGCCAGGACACGGAGTCAAAGCCTCGGCAGGCAGGTAGAGAGTTGGGAGCAGGCAGCAAGCAGAGACGGTGCAAGCAGAGCTCCTGCCAAGGCAGCCTCTTCTGCTCACACATGGTGAGATCCAGAGCCCTGGCCCAGTGCTTGGCCATGGCTGGACATACCAGAAAAGCACCCACACCAAAGGCAGGGAGCACGTTTTSGTTGTCCTGGGCACACAGTCTGCTCAGCAGGGTCTCCTGGTGTTTCTTTTTGGGACATGGCTGCCCTCTAGCATCACAGGTACCTGTGGGCTGTCTGGATATCTCCACTTCTGCTCTGCATTTTAACGGTTTCAACAGACTGACTAACACATTGGGGTTGTTTTCTCATATGAAAGATCAGTTGCTCTCCCTGCCTGGTACTGAATTGCTTGTAATAACCTTAATTATACACCTCTCTCCTAACATCAGGCTGAAACCAACACTAATTCAAGCCTATTGGCATAGACACCAGCCATTATTTAGCTGAGTGGCAAGTCCTTGTGCAGGAACCCTTGATAAAGGCAAAAGTGTTGGAGTAAAGGAAGAGATGCAAACCTRAGCGAATCCAGCTGGGATCCAGAGACACACAAGCAGGGAGACATCTCCACAGAGCATGGAGAATGTCTTCTGCAGGGCTGGGATGCATTCATGGGAGCTCYCCTCTCCCATGCCTGCTTCTCCATCCTCCAAGCATAAGAGCTGCACAAATGTCACAATCAGGGAGCCTGCGGCACGAACTGGCATTAATATAACCTAGTCTGTGCTTTGGAGTCACTGCGCCTCCAGATGCCTTCAGAGTACTAATCCAGGCAGAAATAAATGTCTCCATCTGCTCTTACACCAAGTCCCTCACTCCCTGCTGACCAAGACCATTCAGCTTTCAGAGGGCAATAATTGCAGTTGGATGAATAAGGCACCAGTCAACAGGAAAAGATGCTGGGCTGGTGGGATAGCAGGTTGTTATTCTGTTTGACATCTCTGGCTAGACATGCAATTTCTTTACAAAACTGTATTCAGTGGATATATTGGGTTTAGCTTCAGGGCTCTCGAAACTGCCATACWGCGCTGTGCTAAAGTCATATCTTTTCTTCCTACCTAGCTAGGGAGAGTCAGTAAAAATAATCAAACTGTTCCCCTACTTTATCAAGTCATGAACCAAGACCGAGGAGCATAATACCAGACCAGATGCAAAATCCCTTCAAGAGAGAGTAGATTCCCTCTTGGATGGATGGATGCATGGAAGGATGGATGCAGGAATTACAAGAATTACTGTCCCATGGGCAGTGAGGTAGCAGTGATTTGAAAGTGGATAAGAGCTAATATTCTCCTCAGCAGAGGAAAGTAGAGAAGTAAAATACTCTGGGAGAACTGCAGACTCCTACCAGAGCTGGAATTACAACCCTTGTCCCCGGTGCATCTTGCTTGGCAGAGCCCCACTCACAGTCACCTTTCCTGCAGGTTCCCCATTCAGCTGGTGCAGGAGCACCAGCTCCTGCACTGCTGGTGGGCTATGCCATTTGCTTGCATGCAGCGTGTCCTACGTGCTGGCTTGCTCCACAGCTTGCCAAAATCTTGTCACTGCTTTAACTTGGTCTCCAGTAACCTCAAGAGAAGCTTGTGAGCGCTAGGTCCCATCCTTTCCCTTTCTTCTGCCACTGCCTGGCGTTCTGCACAAAAGGAGCTGATATCTGTAAAGGATGAAGACCATCAACCCCCCACACTCTTCCTCACCACGGTAGGCACACGCTAATGTGGGATATGCCACCTCTTGGAAAGCAGTATCGGTTAAACTCACTGCTCATCCTGGGACCTGCAGACACAGTTATCCCTGCAAGTCCAAATCTAAACAGCCCCCTTGATCTTCCCAGCCTCGCAACCATTTTTTTTTCTGGGCTGTGGCTGCCTGAAGGTTCGGATCAGTTTGCACTACTGTATTGATAAAAGGTTCTGGGTGAAGTCCATGACATAGTTTCCATTTTTCTGCACAGAGGAAGACACATTTAAATGCAAATTGTTTAGTGCCTTCTCGCAGACCGATGCATTACAATCAATTTATGCCAAGAGCTCTGACACATGAGAAATACCTTCCATTAGGGTGTATTCTTCTTTAATAAAATTACTTAATCCTGTACTCAAGCCACATTTTCT